ATTGTAAATTGTGTCAAGTAAATAAACCACTGAGATCATGCAATAAGGCTCCAATGGTGATAACCTCCACAAGTACAAAACCATTTGAAAGATTAGCTTTAGATATAGTCGGTCCGCTACCCGAAGCTGGCCTTGCAAAACTTTAAATTTATATTAACTCTACAAGATGACCTAACCAAGTTTTTATGTGTATACCCAATGATAACTTCCAGCAGCGATGAAGTAGCTCGTACACTAGTTCATTTTATCTCATTATTTGGAATTCCTAAAACGATATTAACGGATCTCGGCACATGTTTCACATCGGAATTATTTAAGCAGGTAACTCAAATATTTAAAATAAAACCCTTATATGCTACCCCCTATCATCCCCAAACAAATGGTGCCTTAGAACGTAGTCATGCTACACTCAAGGAATACCTGAAATCTTTCGTTAATGAAAATCAGAATGATTGGCATTGTTACTTAACAACCGCAGTATTCTCTTACAACACTACCCCTCGTACCACTACTACATATACACCCTATGAATTGCTATATGGGCATAAACCCACAATACCAAATTCTTTATATAATACGAGCAATGACACTACTTATCATGAATATATCCGCGCATTACAATACCGCATGAACTTTAGTCGACAAAAAGCATTAGAACACATAATTAAAAATAAAGAAACATCGAAAAATTATTATGACAAAAATAGTAAAGATATATCCTACAAAACAGGCGATATGGTTTACTTAAAATGCCACCACAGACTTCGCAAAGCCTTATCTCCTATCTGGAAAGGTCCTTATAAAATTATTAAATTAAATGGCAAACATAACGTAGCCCTTCTCATAGGTCATAAGCACATGAAATACCATGTTAATGAAATTAAACCAGCTCATCCTTAATTTCACTTTATTTCAGGGCCATAAGCCACCAATTCAACGCTGAAACTCAAATTCTACCTATTTATAATAGTCCAGGTATTTATTTCGATCAAATAACTACAATTAATTTTTATAATGATTTTTGGAATGTTGTAACTCATATAGACGTAGTATCAGTTAAGCCACATCTAGAGAATATACATTCGCTTATAATTAAAACTGCAACGCTCTGCGAAAACTTCCAACTCCATGGTTTCGCTGAATGTAATGATATCATAAGTCCTATTGAAGTATTATTAAATTCTAATTTTGCTAAATTCAAATCTCTGTTGCATATAGTCCCTACCGAGGAACAAACAAGGCATAAACGAGCTTTAGAATTCGGTGGAGAAATTTTGAAATTCTTTTTTGGAACTTTAGATGCTGATGATGCACGAAAATACGATGCAGCCATTAGCGCTTGTCAAAATAGCGAATCCGAACTTTTAAAATTAATGAAGGATAATATTCACATAATTAAATCTTCTATTAATGTATTTAACTCAACAATATATAAATTAAATATGAATGAAAATAAATTAAATTCTCAAATAAATTCTTTAAATATTGTATTATCCCAAATTGTCAGAAATAATAATCAATTATCACATATTTCTAAAACATATGCTTTACTTAATATAATAGAAAGCTCTTTAGCCACTATTTCTAATTTCTTGGAAAATGTACTAAACTCTATCTTATTTTCTAAAGCAAACATTCTACATCCTAGTGTAATAGCTCCTACGAACTTATTTCGGCAGCTTTTAAAACAGAGTAATTATATAAACAAGCGATTAGATTTTCCAGTACCATTAACGATAGAAGAATAATTTTCATATTACGCATACCACTGATTTCTTCTTTAAAGTTCACCTTATACAAATGCATACCTTTACCAACCCCTCATAATCCTAATGATCCTAACTCTTTTGCTCTAATCCAACCTACCAAGCCTTATCTTGGAATAACAGAAGATAGACTTAGTTATAGTTTGCTAGATAATTTAAACGACTGTAATATTATTAATAATGATTATTCTATATGTCCTTTAATTTCTATATTTTCTACAATAAAGAATCCATGTTGTGAAACAAAATTGTTAACCGAAGTAACGTTATCTTTACCACATCAATGTAACTCTAAACTTTTATATGGACAAATCGATGTATGGTATAAAATAAATAATAATAAGTTTATCTATGTACAGTCTGAGAAATGTAAATTAACTATAAAATGTAATAATATAATACAAGATTTCACTATTTTAGGGACAGGTATCCTAAGTTTAAACGAAAGCTGTATTGGTTTCTCTAAGACAATTCAATTAATGCCATCTACAACTAAATCTATTAAAATCAAAAATAAAATGAATTTAAACTTTAATATTACAGTAGACGATTGTTGTAATAAAGAAATTTTAAACAAATCAATTCCATACTTATCTTCTATATCTTTAACTAGCCTAGACATGGAAACTCTGAAATATTCTTACCATTCCTTAAATAACTTAGAAAATGAGATCAATAGAGTTCAAGAACAATCTCACATGATAAAATATGGTAAATACTATTCATCATTTACATACTTCTTGATTATTTGCATAATTTTATATATTTCCTATAAAATATTTTGTTGCTCTATTAAGAGAAATAATGATTCTTGCCGCTGCATACAAATATTTAATCAGTGCAATACACGACGGATTGTTAAACACGAATCGAAAGTTAGTAATTCTATTGAGTTAACTGAAGTTTCATCATCAGACGATGATAAAAAAGATTCTATATCCTTACCCAATATGCCAGTGCAAAACCAAATGAAAAGAACATTCGGTAAATTTCACTTATCAAATCGAAACTTATGTAATAATTAAAAACTATATTACTTTACTATACTTATTTCATAAAGCATTATGTTACATTAGAATATAAGTTTATATTTTGTTTTATACACTGTGTCTTAGATATTAATATTACTAAATGTTTGTATTTGAAATAAAACATAAATCTTAGCATTAATACACTGAATCTTCTACTATTTCATTATTCACTGAATCTTATAAAAAATACTATATTACTAGTTCATAATCTCAATAAATAATCTCTTATAATTTTATGTAGATATTGTTTAAGAATAGTTTAATTTTACTATGCTTTTGTATCAATTCAATTTGATTTTGTAATAATAACAAATAATTGAAACAATTCTATTTTACAATTATTTTTTGTACTCAAATTATTTTTTTTATTTCCACTGTATCGTTTGTGAGACTCTGCTCATCCCTTATTTAAAAGAAGGATGAGCTCCGTCAAAAAAGGGGGGAGATGTTATGTCCAACCCTAGTTAGATAAAGGCGCTGACTCGATTATTATATTTATTATAAAAGCTTAGAGTTTGAGGTAATCGAGGCAGTGCAGTTTCAACCCATGTTAAGTGCATATCGCACACGCCGTTCGCGGCTTTTGTACATTTCTTGTATTAATTTAATATTGGGGAAATAAACCAAAAGAACTTCTGGGATTGGGTGTAAAAGTTTTTTTTAAAAACACCTTCAGAGCGGCCCTCCTAACAGCACGTACCACCTTAAGGGATGCAGTGAAACGGTTTCGGGAAACTGGCTCTTATGAGCGAAGACCAGGACAGGGCCGAAAAAGATGCACCTCCGCTCGTGACGACCGATTTCTTGTGACCAATGTTCTAAGAAATCGGTTCACTACAGCTGTTGAGGCACGAAACCAACTTCGTGAGGTTCGCAATGTTCAAGTGAGTGAAAGAACAGTGAGAAGAAGACTAGGAAAGAATGCCCTTGGAGCTTTTCGACCATCTCGAGTGCCACAATTGCTCGTAGGCCACCGGAGAGAAAGACTTCGTTTTTCCCGAGAGCACGCCGAATGGAATATGGAACAATGGAAGAATGTTATGTTTACTGACGAGACAAGAATATGCTTGCACGGTCCTGACGGTCGCCAGCGTGTATACAAACGCAAGAATGAAAGGTTTGCACCATGTACTGTTGTGGAAACAGTAGGTTACCAAGGTGGCTCTATCATGATATGGGGCGGCATTACTTACGAAGCACGCACCGACTTGGTTATCTTCGAAAGAGGTGGAGTAAATGCTCAGAGGTATGTAACAGAAGTATTGGAACCTCATGTAATGCCATTTGCTCCATTTATTGGCGAAGATTTTTTATTAATGCAGGACAACGCTCGCCCCCACGTTGCTAGAGTTGTTACCGCGTACCTGGATACCGTCGGCATTCGAAAATTAACATGGCCATCCCGGAGCCCAGAATTAAATCCTATTGAACACATATGGGACAATTTAAAAAGACGTGTTCGAAGCCGCATACCAGCTCCAACCACCATAGATGAATTAAAACAATCCGTGATTGAGGAGTGGCAGAACATTCCACAACAACAGATCAAAGATGTCATCGACAGCATGCCAAACCGTTTGATGGAAGTCATGAGTGCTAGAGGTGGAAATACGCACTATTAGAATTCATTTATTCAGCAGATTTTTTATTTTTAAGCCATTTCATCACATTTGTTAATCCGTTTTAACAATTAATTTGTAAATTCATTGTTAAAACGGTCAGTGTTTTTCAGACTTTTTTTTATAAATAAACTTAATAATTAAAAACAATATTATCTTTCATTTTACTTCAATATACCTACGTTATAAAATAACATTCACAAGTAAGGCCACAATTTTTTTTAATCAAAATCGTAAAAAATCAAGGTGGGCGGTTAATTGTGCCGCTGAGTTTAGTTCTGGTACGTATTTTTTATAATACAAGTTTAATGTTATTGTTATTTTGAAGTTAAATCATAATTAGTTTTTGTAATTATGAAAATAGGTTATCATTGATATTTTTTTACGAAACGACGCATAAACGGCTATCTGCCACATAGCTTTTTCTACGTTGCGATTGTGATGTCTGAATTGTGATTAGTATTGTTTGTTATGTTTACGAGTACCTACCTATGTTAATTCTTATTGTTAGCTATATATATTAATTGACTTATAATTAAATTATATTTTCTTACTGTTATTTTTTACTACTGTTTCATGTTCAGAAAGTCCGAAACGACCTTTTAAAGAAGATGAAAGCTTACAGAACATAAGCGATGGATTTTTCGACAAAAATGCTGTGTTGGCCGATGAAGTTATTGAATATCTTATAGAAGACCTTGATGTGTCAGCGATGAAGACAAATGAGTATCAGTTAACTTCGCAAGATAAGTCCCCATGTTCTGTGTACTCTAGGTCGGTCACAGCAGTTCACTCTCAATCTGAAAATGTTTATTTTGATAACAGAGATTCTCCGAGCAAATTATCGGATACACCAACGCCCTCAGAATACAACTCATTTACTTCAAGTCCGCCGCGTCCATTATCAGAATTAGATCAAAATATCTGTTTAATAAACTCAGGCAGGCCATCGAGTATGTCACTAATTTCAAACTGTCAATCTTCTATAAGCAACACTAGTGATGCTTCTTCGGTGGTGGAGGCATCAAGAGAATGTTCTACACCTTCGTCGTTAAACGGTAGAAAAAGACGTAAGTTCAGTATTGATAGATCAAAGAAAAGGGCGATTGAGAAATAAAGACAAGTTGATTGATACAAGACGTAAATTACTATTAAATTCAGGTAAACATCAGTCCAGAAATGGAAAATTGCAACCTACGAAACATCTTAAGCCGGCATGTGTTATTTGCAAGTTTAACTGTAGCGTAAAAATATCTCACGAAGATAGAAAACTTATCTTTGATCGTTTTTGGGATCTCTGTGATCACGAAAAACAATGGGTTTTTATAGGTAAATATACAAAACGTTGTATGAAACGAAGAATTACTACAGAGAATGATTCTAAACGCCAACACAGTGTAAACTATACACTTCCAATAAATTTAAAAGAAACCAGCCCTAGAACTGCAAAAGTATGCAAAACAATGTTTAAGAATACGCTATCGGTAAATAATCAGTTTATACAGAGCGCTGTTGATAAATATGATAAAAGTACTGGTAACTGTGAAAAAGACTTCAGAGGTCGTCATGACAATAAAAACCAAGGTTTGTACAACCGCCATAATAAAAGGTGTGTGTGATCATGTAAACTCGTTTCAACCAGTGGAGTCACATTACACAAGAAAAGACACAAACAAAGTTTACTTGACTGATTTAAATTTCTCCACGATGTTTAAGTTGTACCAGACTTGGGCAGAGGAAAATAGTATTGTGGAGAGAGTACACACAGCGCGCCAGTACCGAGACATAGTTAACAAGGAAATGAACATAGCCTTTTATATTCCTAAAAAAGACCCGTGCGACGTGTGTATAGCATTTAAAAATTGCCTTCCTTCACAAACCAGAGCACAAGATCAGTACAATAAACATATACAAGATAAAAATATAGCGAGATCTTTGAAGAAACAAGACAAAAATGAAGCTACTTCTAATCCTGAAACTGTAACTTCGGCTACCTTTGATTTTCAAAAAATTTTGTCGACACCACACGGAGAAACCAGTTCATTTTATTATAAGCGTAAACTTTCTGTCTTTAATTTTACTGCTTTTGATATGGGACTTGCGGGGTTCGAACGAAGTGGCTAGTTGCCTTTATAATTTTATACAACAGTCAACTAATAGAGGCATCAAAGATATCCGCCTGTGGTCCGATAACTGTGGCGGTCAGAACAGGAACCGTATTGCGTTTCTGATGTATGTATACTGCTCTCAAAAGTATAGCATTGATATTCATCACAGATTTTTGGAGAAGGGTCACACCCAGCAAGAAGGCGATAGTGTCCACGCATTAATTGAGAAATCGTCGAAGAGAAAATTCATTTTTTGTCCTAAAGAATGGTATACACCCGTTCGGTGGTGTAAAACGTCTGGCGATGCTTATGAGGTTATAGAAATAACACAAGACCAAATTTTGGATTTCAAAATATGTTTATATGATTTTAAATTGACAAAAAATACCGACAATGAGAATGTTAGTGGAATCAAGTTCGAGAAATAGTCAAGTAATACCTATAATTGTAAATTTAATAACTTTTTGGGATCGTTGATGAACAAATATATAAATATACCCACCAAGTAAGTACCTACATGTTTTTACTAATAAATCCCTCTTAGGGTTGCTTTAGGTTTTAGTTTGCTAAGATTGTGGTGACGTATTTGGAAAGTTTTTCCTGTTTAAACAATTTTTCATTAAAAATGTGTATTACTATTCTTACATAACCAATATAAATTTACTATTTATCTTAGGAAAACCAACCTTTTAAACATTGCTTTCAAAAAGCATTTTTTATGAACAATAACTAATATTTCCCTAACTAAAGTATGACAACATATTAATGTAATGCTTTACTATGGTACAAGAATTTGAATGAATGAATGAAGATTTTATCTAAATATCTTAATATTAATTTTGCTATTGCTTACTAACGCTTTTTATTTTACCGCTTTTTAGGAACTGAACATGCCAAGATTTTGGAGAAGTAAACAGCTTGTATCGTTATGCGTAGAAGATCAACAGCAATCGATACACCATTTAGCAATGGAGCTAGAAGAAGAATCATCTTCAATATTATTTCCATCACCTCCACCTCCAGCTCCATCGATAATTATTCAAGCTGTTGACGAAGGTGAACACGCCGACGTTGGCATGAGTACTTTTACCGACCTCACAAATATGATTTGTACTACAAATGCGGAATTAGCTTCAGGGATTACAGGTACAACTCAAAGTTTAATAACTACTACTACTGCTAATATCAGCATAACATCTGATTCCTGCTTAGAAATACAAAATGATAACGAGGCAAACATTACTAACACACCAGTTCCTGCTAACGTTATGCTGCAGTTGAATGAACAAACTGGATATTTTGAACCGCTCTTTGAAAAAGAAAATATTTGCACTTCCATCCCACAAAATGAGGAAGAAGTGGCTCTTAGTGAGAACAGAAAAGAAAGAAGGCTCAAAAATTAAGGCTTTTAGGCATGACTTATACAGGGCAATAAGTTATTAGAGAAGAAGATAAAATTAGAATACAAGAAATTACGAAACCAAATAGAAAAATGAGAGAAAAGCCTTGTGAACATGGAGCGGCTAAAATTTCCGAAAGAAGTTTTGCCTGCGCTGCAATATCCGATAATATGCGCGTAGATACATTTCATTATTTTTGGCAACTCCCTACATGGGATGCTAAGAAAGCCAACGTAAACTGCCTTATCCAACCAAGGCAGATTGTTCGCCGTAGAAATGTCTACGCAGATGTTAATAAAAAGAATTGCGGGTTTGATTGCTATTTACCGGGGCTTGACGGTATTAAACTACGTGTTTGCAAGCAGTTATTTTTAGCCACATTAGACTTAAAAAAAGATGTTCTACAGTTGTGGATAAGGTCGAAGTTCGACATTGATGTAACAAATAGTGGAGCGATTAACATAGTCAGAAGAGTAGCTGCTGATAGTTCTAATCGGGCTGGTACCAGGGTTCTTAGGTCTGAGTCAGATATGAAATGGCTTGAAATAATACCAAAGGTACCCAGCCATTACTGCCGAAGCAACACTAGTCGTGTGTTTTTTTATGTAGAAGCGTCTTTCGAGTCAATGACACACATTCATACGGTCTACACAGCTTGGTGCCAAGAGAACAACTATTCTGCAGTACAAAGAAAACGGTTTATAATAAAATTTCAATTTTTAAGCCACGGAAAGATCAATGCGATCTGTGTGTTGGGCACAAAGAGGGAAACATTCCTGAAGCTATGTATACACTACGCATCACGAAAAAAGAGGAAGCCTACTCTGCTAAGTCTAATGCTATTCAGGAAATGTCGGACGATGTTGTGGTTATATCAATGGATATGCTAAGCGTGCTGCTGTCTCCTAAACTTCACGTTTCTGAACAATATTATAAAATGAAATTAGCCCTGCATAATTATACGTTTTATGTAAAAAATACTAAGGATGTATATTTATACGTTTGGCATGAAGGAGAGGGAGGAATAACAGCGAATAATATTACGAGCTGCATCATTAACTTTTTAGAAGAGTATTGTGGAAACAAAAAGAAAGTAATTCTTATTTCTGACGGCTGTGCATATCAAAATAAAAATAAAGTTTTATGCAGTGCCTTAGCTAATTTAAGTGCTGTGAAAGAGCTTACCATTGAGCAAATTATATTAGAGAAAGGGCATACAAAGATGGAAGTGGACAGCGTCCATTCCACTCTGGAAAAAAAGTTTAAGGCACCAATTTTTACACCAATGGATTATGTGTCCAGGATGAGACAATGTAGGCCCTCGCAGCCCTACGTTGTTCATTATCTAGATTTCAATTTCTTTAAAAACTATGAAGAAGTGCCTGGCAATTTTACCACAGTAAGACCAGGCAGAAGGACTGGTGATGCCACTATCGGAGAACTTCTTTACGTCAATGGTGAAGTGCAGTATAAAGTACGCCATTCTGATGAATGGGAAGCTTTACCACAAAGGAGAATTAATAGTAGAGAACCAGTAGCACCTGCAAGATTATATAACAGCCCCATCAACATAGTATATGTAACCAAATATAATCATCTACAAGGTCTGAAGCAGTACATGCATCGTGACTATCATTTTTTTATGGTAATTTAAGTCATTAATTTACCTAACTACTTTATAAAAAAATACTTATTATACAACATTTCATAATTTAATATATATATATATATATATATATATATATATATATATATATTTAATTTTGCTACATCGGATATTTGTTTATTGTGTCATTTCTTACTTTTTCTTCTATATAATAGCTATGTGAAAAAAAAACAGCACATATATAGTAGGCGATACGACTTCCATTTGTCGCTATGTGCTCTGTGGACAGTTAGCGGATATTTATGACTCTAATTATAAACGCTATGTGTAGAAATAGTTGAATTCTTTTTTTTTCTAGCTTTTTAATAAGGTATTTGACAAAGATAGAAACGTTAAAATATGTAAATTGTGCTATTACTATTGCCATACAAAAAAGTATTATAATGACACACACAACTTGATATAATCAGTTTTTTGTCTCTCCTGAAAAGTAGGGTAAAAACACATAGCAAAAAATGCACGCGCAACGACGACTAATTTACGTGGGAATTCAAAGACTTAGTAAAGTATTTTACTAAATCTTTGAATTCCCACGTAGAAACGGCCAAGTGGTAGTTAACACAGTTGTCATATTTTTAAGCGCAATGTAGATGCATACAACTACAATATCTCGTAAATTAAACATAATTAGAAGAAATGAAATATACAAGTGGATACATTATTAAACAATGAAGCAATGATTAAAATTTCAATAAATTTGGTTTAAAATTGACAAAATGGGAGCATTTTTTCCTATTATGCACTCTCCTGAAAAGTAGCTGTTTTGTAGATGACCCTTTTTACTTTGCACCCGTCGATATCTGTGTGAATTTATGCTTAAGCAATTGCCGATAGATAAATGCGAAAAAGTAGAAAATGTTCTGTATCTGATACTGTTGACAAATGTCATTTGTTTGTTGAGTGCATAGAGTACAGTGATTTTAACAGGAGCCTGTAATATTTAACAAAAGATTTTATAACTTATGTGGAACATTGTGCTTCCTTAATAAATTCTTATTTAAGAGAATATTAACTCATAAGTTGTTTGAAAAAAAAATTTGTTGAATATATTTAAGTCTATAAATTTTGATTGATTGATGATTAATTATATGCTTAAAAAGGTTTTGCATTGTTGAAAACCGTTTATGCGCAGAAGAAGCTTCAACTGCTGCACTCAAGAACTCTAAGCAAGAAAAAACTATCACCGAGGGAAAACTGTTGTTCTCAAAGAGAATGAAGAAGTGTTCTAATCTAAATGACCCCGAGTTAAAGAATAGCTCTAAGAAATATATATATATATATATATATATATATATATATATATATATATATATATATATATATATATATATATATATATAAAATGTAATGTGTGGCGTCCGATGACCACCGTTTTGGCCTGAACAGCCAGCTGTATGGTTCGGTCAGTTGGAAGACAATTTCCTATTACCCGTACTAAAGGACGACGCTACAAAATTTTATTATGTAAGATCAACTCTAGAATAGAGATACGCAGCAGAAGTTAAAGACATAATTGTCTCACCACCAGACAAAGACAAATATGAAAAGCTGAAGACCGAGCTTATAAAACGACTTTCCGCGACACGTGAAAAAACCTTTTAGGTGTCAAGTTTTTGAAAATCTTCACTCCTTAAGTTACACTGACACTAACGCAATTGTAATTAACGCTACATCTTGCCCGAAATGAGAAAAGATTGCGGACAGTGGACCAAAACCTGCCACCCGTGTCAGCAAAGGTCACTTGACATGTATCATCGCCACTTGGTACGCTTAAATTCCCACGTACTAGATTTGCGTTCATACAAATGTATGGACACCTGGTTGGACCACTACCTGTATCAAATGAATACAAGTACTGCCTCACTGCTAATGATCGATTTAGCAGGTGACCTGAAGCAATACCAATCAAAAATATAACCGCTGAGAAAGTCGCCGAAGCTCTGATATCCGGATGGATAGCACGTTTTGGTTGCCTTAAAATGTTGGTCGGAACTTTAAAGGAAATTTTGCGAAATACATCACTACGCCTACGTCAAGTTACCATACCTGGAACACACACGCAACTCTACTGTGATGACAACAACGACTCACTCAGGCCCTACGTCACTAAACCTTTTAGACGTCAGGTTTTTGAAAATCTTCACTCCTTAAGTTACACTGGCACTAATGCAACTGTAATTAATTGCGCAGCGCTACTTCTTGGCTGAAATGAGAAAAGATTGCGGACAGAGGACCAAAACCTGCCACTCATGTCATCAGATAAAGGTCACTTGACATGTATCATCGCCACTTGGTACGCTTAAAATTACCACGTACTAGATTTGCGTTGATACAAATGTGTGGACACCTGGTTGGACCACTACCTGTATCAAATGAATACAAGTACTGCCTCACTGCTAATGATCGATTTAGCAGGTGACCTGAAGCAATACCAATCAAAAATATAACCGCTGAGACAGTCGCCAAAGCTCTGATATCCGGATGGATAGCACGTTTTTGTGGCCCTAGCGAAGTGGTTACGGACAGAGGACGTTAATTTGAGTCGAAACTTTTTAAGGCCCTCTCGAGAATGGTGAGATTCCAACACAAACAACTACGTAATACCATCCCGCCTGTAATTGAATGATTGAGAGGTTCCATAGACAGCTTAAAGCAGCAATAAACTGTCACGCCAATACAAACTGGACAGAAGCTCTTCCTTTAGTACTGCCAGGCATACGCAGTGCAGTTAAGGAATACTTACCCTTAGTTCAGACACGGCGGATACCGCGCGGACGCAAACCGCGCGGGTCAACCGCGCGGATATTATTATAATGGCATAGTACTAGAACGTTCATACTACACCGCGCGGACCATGCAACCGCGCGGTAGCCGCAACTCGACCGCAAGAAAATGAATTCGCGCGTTCGCCACGCGGACGTAATTCTATGACAATCCCTGGGCGTGTTCAGTTGCTCCGTGGAATCCGCGCGTATCGCACGTGTGACAATGGAGCGCTTTGACACCGAACTATTCATTGACGAAGTTGAAAAAAGACCAGCAATATGGGACATCCAGTGTGAAGATTATTCTAATAAAATTGCCAAAAATAAGGCTTGGCAGGACCTGGTAGAGATTTTTGGTATAAACGAGGATTCATTGGAAAAGAAAAAACTTTTTGGTTAGTAGGTACTTTATTTAAACATTTCTCCTAGTAGTTACTTTACTTTGTTTGTGATTGTGTTTACATAATATAGATACCTACCAATGTAATATACATATTTATAAGTTTATATTTTAGTATCTTGCCATTCTACACGACCCTCATTCACAAAGTAATTAGCATATCTATCTCTAATGTTCAAAGATGAAGGTGTACCTCTTCCTGCATGTAATTTATTAAGACTACTCATTGGCGCAGTGTACAAAGTGTCTTTATACCGTACACCATCTCTTGTCCTAACAAAATTGTGTAACACGCAACATGCCTTTATTATGTCTTCGGCAAAGTCTATGTTAACGTTTATAGGCCTATGAAAAATACGCCACTTGTTTGCTAAAATACCAAAGCTGCATTCAATATTACGTCGAGCCCTAGATAACCTATAGTTAAAAATCCTTTTTTCGTATGATAACCCTTTACCCGCATAGGGTCGCATTAAGTTTTCCGATAAACCAAACGCTTCATCGCCAACTATAACGTATGGTAATGGTAAAGGATCTGCGTTAGATATTGGTTTAGGTTTTGGTATGTGTAATGATTTTTCTATTAATCTTTTATAAAATATTGAATTTTTAAATATTGCAGAATCACTACTTTTTCCATATGATCCAATGTCAACAAAAGTAAAACAGTAATTAGCGTCACAAAGTGCCAAAAGTACTATAGAAAAATAGTTTTTATAATTATAATATAAAGATCCAGAATCATCAGGCATTATAACCCTTATATGTTTGCCATCTATGGCGCCTATGCAATTGGGGAAATTTGCATATCTTTCAAAATCTATAGCTATTCTCTCCCACACATCTTCACTCGGTTCGGGCATGACTTTTTTTTGCGAGTATTTTCCACAAAGCTTTACATACTTCACGGACAATTCCTGTGGTTGTAGATTTGCCAAGACGAAAGTTGTAACGAAGTTCTCCAAAGGAACAACCAATAGCCAGATATCTGAAACAAAAAAAAATACCAGCACATATTATGAAAACCTTAACATTTTTCTTAACGATAAATTTCTTATTCAGGTGTAACATTGCAAAAAAAATGGAAGAACATACGTGATGCCTACAACAAGGAATTCAAAAAAGGCAAGTCAGCTCCTTCTGGTTCAGGTGCATGTAAAGGTTCAAAATACATGTATTTTGACCGGCTTTCCTTTCTTCAGAAGACGGTAGAAAATAAAGAAACAACTAGTAACATAGAAGAAGCGAAAAATGAGCATAATGAAGACAGTGACAAAGACCAAAATAATTTTGTGAATGCACGTGAAATACGCTCCCCTCCCCCCAAAAAAAAGAAAAAAAAGTAAAAGTGCACCAGAAGATCGATTGGCTAACATATTAGAGGAGAGCATTCAGTCACGAGATAAATTACAAAGAGAATTACAAGAAAATATTTCTAACCAAGATGATGATAAGCTTTTTTGTTTATCTTTGTACAAAGAATTAAAAAAAGTTCCAGAAAACAAGCGTTTGGCTACTAAAATTGAATTACTTCAAGTAATAGAGAAGGGACAGAAATTACCATTGCCATTTCGCATTACAACAAACCAGCAAAACATGCATAATACAGCATATTTAAATAGCCAACCATATTCAAATCCACAAGGATATTTTACTGGATACTCTACAATTGTACCAGCGGGATCTCCATCGCCTTCATCATACACTACTGATGACTCACAGTCTTCTATTGTAGAAAATATATATTCTGATATTATGTGAAAATAAATACCCAATATATATTCTAATATAACATAAATATAAATATATATTCTTATATTACATAAATATATATTCTGATAATTATTAAATAAAAATAAATACCTTACCTTAAAGTGATCACGAGTTTTTCTTCTGGTGATACGCTTGACCTCATATGGGTATTAGAAGATGTAATTTGTTCACTGATTATTTCCAATAATTCGTCAAATGACTTTATTGACATTCTTAAATAGTTAAAAAATTCGGAATCATAATTCCTTAACTTTGCATATAAAGACACAAACTGACCATGAGTGAACCGATCTTGTAAAATTGGATGCACCCAATACTGCCGTTTCCTTTTTTTTTTGTGGAGTAGGAGTAAGTACACACATATTGCCTCTTCAACTTCCATGATTGAACTGAAAGGCTGTCACCCTACCTCGCAGTCCTCGCACCGCACAATAACCGCGCTTGTCTGAACACTTCACTATTCTCGCGGATCGGACCCGCGCGGTTTGCGTCCGCACGGTTTCCGCCGAGTCTGAACGTGCTCTTAAAAACTTCTCCTGCCGAAATAGTATATATGGTGAGCCACTTAAGACTGACTGGAGAACGATTACATCCATCTCCACAAATAAACACTGACGTCACGTGAAACGTGAACCACACTTATTTAAAGTCTTCGGAAGGTTGGGTGGCTTGCCAACTATGTGGACGGTGGGCTCATACAACTTGTGCTGGTGTAGACGACAACACAGAAGAAATCCACATCTGCTTGTACTGTGGCGCAAAATAAATACGTATCCCATACTGGCCCCTACCTTGGGGCACGATGGGGTTTTCGTTAGTTTCAAAAAATTAAAATAATATCGTCATATGATTATTTACATCACCAAATTTTATGCCAAATGATAAATTTAATATGTAACTATTGTTGTGGTTAGTTTTAATCAATAAAAACATTGCGTTGATTATTTTATTGTGTATGTTCCTTAACGTCCCCATTATGCCCCCTCTCCCCTACTGATATTGAATTGGTAAATTAACCTTTTTGTTTTTAGATATCTTTAATCATTTTGCTATAGTTTTTATCGTGATTCACGTGAAGTACTTATAATTCGAGTCAAATAGGATCCCTCGTTATTTTTCAGATCTTAAATCTGTTTATGTAATTATACGCTTAAATATTATTCTTAAAATTAAAAATATTGTTACAGTAACAAGAAGAACCTTCTATTACTCGGGATGAGACAGCGTTTACGTCTGGTGTGTGAATTTTATGGAGGAGGCAGGATTGAATATCAGAAAATATTAATCCTCAATCAATAGAATTGAATTGCTTCTTAAATTCTTAGAAGAAGAATTTATATGCAAAATACGAACGAATAAATTTTTGATGTTAAAAATTTACTAATCTTTAACATCAAAAACTAATTCGTCGCAGTGACAAAAATTTATTCAAGGCTACAAAAGTGGCGAGAAATTTCCGTTGCAGTAATGCATGTATTCTGGCTGTTACATTTTTATTTACAACAAACAAACACCTGACTATAGGGGAACATTGGGCAACAGATCCCTCGTTGTCTCGAGAATTTTTTTCAAAACTATGAAGTTTGTCCAGTGTTTATGTCAACCTCCATCACTGGATGGGTGGATCTGGACAATAAATGGTGTAGAACATTTATTTACAAATATGTCAAAAGCTTACAATGTAAGGAGTCCGGCCACAAGGCGACTGCAAGAAGACCCTATTGAAAATTTGTTTGGTTGCATTCGTGGTCACTGTGGGTCAAATACAAATCCTACGACGGGGCAATTTGTGGCTGGATTGAAAACTTCAATTTTAAGTAGTTTGGCACATATAATGTAATAAAATTAATAATTTAAGCAAATTATTATCACTCCCACAATCCACACTCATACACGCAGAGCCTGATTTCATGCAATAAGTGAATTGCCTGATGTTCGTGTCATAGAACAAAATATTGACGAAGGCAACGCCGAAGTTCAGGCTTGTGCATACGTGTGTGGATTTATGCTTAAGTAATTGCCAATAGATAAATGCGAAAAATGTAGATTTTTTTGTATCCGATATTGTTGACAAATGTCACTTGTTTGTTGAGTGCCGGGATTTTAACATAAGCTTGTACTATATAACAAAAGATCTTACAACTTATTCGGAACATTGTGCTTCCATAATAAATTCATATTTAAGAGAAAATGAACACATACGTTCTTTGAAAAAAAATTTGTTGAATATATTTAAAAGTCTATAAATTTTACTTTGTCAAAGAATGCATGTTGCATTCAGATCAAAATATCAATAATTTAAAGAACAGTGTTTAAATTATATGCTTAAAAATGTTTTGCATTGTAAAAAACCGTTTATTTGCCGAAGAAGCTTCAACTGTTGCACTTAACACATTGGACGCCGTGGTGGTCACCGGTGACCACCGCTATACTTTCCATATGGGCTGACGCCATTTTGCGATTTCAACAAATTTTACACATTATATTTTATTGGCTCATACTGTTCAAAATATCCAAAAATCTCAATATAAATAATTTTTTATTACTATCCAAAGAATTAACAAAATAATTGCTGACGCCCACCGGTGACCACCACGGCGCACGCCGCTGGAAATCTGCATTTCGTTCGCACGGGGCCTCGGGGGTCGCGGCGCCGGTCACACCGGAAGGGCTGCGCGCGGCCGCGCTATTGACACGAATTAGTAATCTTTCGCAAGCAAGGTCACGCGCATTGTCGAGTTAGTAATCGCAAGCAAGGTCAAACGCATTGTTTATTTTTCATAATACATATTTTGGATTATTTTAGTAACAGTTTTACCCTGGTTACCTCTAAAGTGAATAAACTGTGTCCTGGCTGACTGTAAGGAAAAGTGTGGTGTGAATCATGGATGATTTTGAAGACTTTGAAATAACAAATGATGATTTGACGCGGATTGAAGAAATAGAAATTTCCTTGCTCAATAGTAGCTTTCACCTAAGTTCGGAGCCTGAGGAAGAGTATGACTTACAACCACATTTACGAAAGCGACGTCGACGAGTTCTGTCCATTAGTGACACGAGTGACATTGAACTTGAAAATGGTGTGCCAAATACTTCTGGTCACACCGCGTCGCTCCCTGTATCATCTACCGTGTGGCACCAACCAAAAGGTAATCAGCGTCGGATTATCCCCTACACTGAATTCCCAGGATTAGATCCACGAGTTGTAAGGGAAATGATCGATAAGACCCCGGCAGATTTCTATCATTTTTAGTACCAGACGAAGTGTTTGAAATGGTGGCCGATTATACGAATAGCTTTGCTATCAAAAAAGTCACAGAGTCGGACGCAGCATCTAAAGCTGCGCGGATTCGCCAGTGGAAACCTACATCCGCAGCAGAGATGAAACGATTTTTCGGATTGATTATTTTCATGGGGATCGTAAAATTACCCAAAATATCCTACTACTGGTCAAAAGATGCTGTACTTGGACAGAATTTTCCTCGAACAATAATGAGTCGAAACCGATTTGAGTTGCTGTTTCAAATGCTGCACTTTTCTCAGCAAGACGAAGACAATAAATCTAATGGATTACACGGGATTGAGAAATTGCTCGAAGTTATGAACAGGAACTTCCAAAAAAACTACACCCCTTCCGAAGAGATTTGCATAGATGAAAGTGTGGTGCCTTTTCGCAGAAGAATAATTTTTCGACAATACAATAAACAAAAAAGGCATAAATATGGTATAAAGGAGTTTAAGTTATGTACCATTCCCGGATATACATATAAAATAAATGTATACGCAGGAAAGAATAACGATGAAGTCAATACTACACCGTTGAACGTCGTATGTCTCTATGCAGCGATCTTCTATACAAGGGACATACGCTAGTGACCGACAACTGGTACACCAGTATAGATCTTGCCAAAAAAACTTCTGGATGCAGAGACTCATCTCGTAGGCACGATTCGGAAGAACCGGAAGCATCTGCCAAAGGATGTAGTAAATGCTAAACTGAAGCGAGGACAATTCGTGGCGAAGGAAGGCGATGAGGGCATAACTGTAATGAAGTGGAAGGATAAAAGAGACGTCCTTTTGCTGTCCACAAAACACTCAGTGCGATTCCAAAATGTCGGAAAACGTAACAAAGTTATTTCTAAACCGAAAATAGTCGTTGACTATAACGGTGCTAAAGGAGCTGTAGATATGTCCGATCAGATGGCTGCTTACTCAACTCCATTGAGGAAATCTATAAAATGGTACAAGAAGTATGCAATCAACCTTCTCCTGAACACAGCAGTGGTCAATGCACTGGTCTTGTATCAAAGCGTCATTGGAAAGAAAATACAAATGGCAGACTTCCGGCTGGAATTACTGAAGTCGTTTTGCAGCCAACAAGATGTTCCAATTGCAAGACCTAGAAGAATGATACACAAACTGCAACAAAAAGAAGGGCAAGCCAGGACAAGCAGGCGAGCATGTGTGAATTGTTAAAAAATTAACGCAGCTACAGGTGAGAATGTTTTGTCCACAATGCCCGGAGAAGCCTTTTCTTTGCATATCTTGCTTCAATGTGCTTCATCATTGACCAATTTTTTACCCGACTGCGCGACGAAAAGAGTGGAAATGTATTTATTTATTTTGTTGTTAAGACTGATTTCATTTATTCGCCAAATATTCATGACAAAGTTTAATTTCGTAGTAATTTTTTGAGTTATTTTAAGTTTTTTTTCCAAATTTGTTTAGTTTATTTTTTACTAAGTTTAAAAATAAGTGATTGCCTAACGTATAATAAAACGTTTTTAAATATTTTCTAATAAAACATATATTTCGTAAACCTTCTTTTATTTTAAAACTACATCTTGTATACTTTTTTCATACTTAGTGTCGAAACGAGCTAGTATGCGTAAACTGTTCTCCAGGGCCGCGCCGGGCACACTCAATATAGTTTTGTACCAGCACTGTGTCCCCCAGCGAGAAAATTGAGTTCAAACACGAGTCCGTCGCGCGGTCACCGGTGAGCCCCACGGCCTGAACGGGTAGTATTACTGTCGCTCACCGGTGAGCCCCACGGCCCAAACGGAACAACCACTAAATTTGAGTCGGCGTTTAATGTGTTAAGAACTCTAAGAAATCTCTGCAAGAAGAAAACTATCGCTGAGGGAAAACTGTTGTTCTCGCTTTAAGCCCCTAGAAAATTGAGTTAGAAGAGCGTTTACCACTTAAGAGACCGAAGAAGTGTTCTAATCCAAATGACCCCGAGTTAAAGAAGAACTCTAAGAAACAGTAGACCCAAAAGCTCCCTCTGGTGTAGACAATACCGACGAGGATACCATGTGCCTGTACTGCCTTGACGTGAACCACACTTATTTAACCCTAGAAGCCCAATCTAAGTCATTTTTACCTATACGCAAACGAATATTTGCTTTCTCTTTCGCACCCTTCTTTCGATCGCCGTGATTGATCGAACCAACTTAGTACACCCCACAAGCCAACAAGACGGCCCGTACATTGTAGTTATCGTAACGTTGTAGTTCAATTTGACCTATGTTTAGGCCTTGTGTAACTTTTACACTTGTTCTGAGTATTTGGAGATAGCTATTTTATGAGTATTTTACGTCGTATTTTATTTCGTTGTTAAAAAATAAATATTATTTTAGGTAGAAAAACAAGATGGCGTCTTCTAGACAACTGAGAACTGACGAGATAGCGTCTTTTTTAGAAAATACCAGTGACTCGGAGACATGCGACACAGACTCGGGAGAAGAAGATTGCATGACTTATGACGAGGTCAGAAGTGACGTGGAAGACGAGGTAGTGGACTCTCTTGAGTGTTCAAACGAGTCAGCTAGCCAAGAAACTCTTCAAAACGATGATACGTCTATTGAATCAACTAATACAGATATACCTCAGTCATAATCAGACAGAATCATTGTATTACCGCAACGTACATTACGCTCAAAAAACAACCATATTTGGAGCACCATGAAGGGTAGATCTAGCGGTAGGACTTCTTCAATAAATATAGTACGTACGAATAGAGGACCCACACGAAGGAACCGGAATATCGTCGATCCGTTGCTTTGTTTTCAACTTTTCATCAAAGATGAAATTATAGAAGAGATAGTGAAATGGACTAATGAAGAAATGGTACGAAAGCGTGTAAATATAAAAGAGATTTTAGCAAGTTACAAAAATACTAATGTCACAGAGATTTGGGCACTTATAGGAATACTTACATTGACGGCTGTTATGAAGGATAACCACTTGTCTACCGATGAGCTATTTGATGCATCATTCGCTGGTACTCGATACGTTAGTGTAATGAGTAGAGAAAGGTTTAAATTTCTACTAAGATGTCTAAGAATGAACGATAAGTCACTAAGGCCAACTCATAGACAGGACGATGCTTTTTTACCTGTCAGATAGGTTTGGGATATTTTCATCAATCAGTGCAGGTTGAATTATACACCAGGGTCAAAATTAACGGTAGCCGAACAGTTGCTAGGCTTTCGCGGTAGATGTCCATTTCATACGTACATACCGAATAAGCCTGATAAATATGGAATTACATTCCCAATGATATGCGATGCTGCAACAAAGTATATGGTGGATGCAATACCTTACCTTTGTAAGAGTACTATAACTAATGGCCTCCCTCTTGGCGAGTATTATGTAAAGGATTTGACAAAAACTTTGCATGGTACTAATAGAAATATTACACGTGACAACTGGTTTACTTCTGTTCCACTGGCTAAAAAGCTTACTAAAATCTCCATATAATTTGACATTAGTTGGAACCATAAGATCTAATAAAAGGGAAATTCCAGAAGCACTAAAAAATACTCGCGCACGTCCGGTAGGATCTTCTATGTTTTGCTTTGATGGTCCGTTGACCCTAGTATCTTATAAACCTAAGCCGTCTAAGATGGTGTACCTTTTATCATCATGTGATGAAGATGTTGTAGTCGACCGCACTAATGGAAAGCCAGACATGATTTATTTTATAATCAGACAAAAGGGGGTGTCGATTCCTTCGATCAAATGTGTTCCTCTATGTCTACTAATAGGAAGACGAATAGGTGGCCCATGGCTTGTTTTTACGGCATGCTCAATATGTCTTTTGTGAATTCATATATTATAAACTGCCATAACAAGCAATTTAACAAAGAAAAACCGTTAAGTCGCAAAAACTTTATGAAAAAATTGAGCACAGATCTGACTCGGCCGTGGAAGCAACAGCGTCTGGAAGGCCCTACATTGAAGCGTTCAGTACGTAACAATATCACGAATATCCTTCAAAAGGAGCCGCAGCCATTGCCAGAGAACACCACAGTAGAACCAGAGTCAAAAAAGCGTCGCTACTGTGGTTATTGTTCTTATAAAAAACAGCGAAAGACAAATTCGCAGTGCACAAAGTGCAAAAAAGCAATTTGTCGTGAGCACAATATTGACATGTGTCAAAACTGTTTATAATAAGGTAATTGCTCTTTGAAACTGTTTGTTATGAAAAATTTATTAACTAGATAAAAAGAGAAGATTTTGTTTTGTTTTTTCTTTATATTTGTAGTTTATAAGAAGAATACTGGGAGGATCTCATTGTGTACCAAATTTTTGTATTTTTGTATTTTCAAAGATATAATAAATAGATGTTACTCGTAACATAATTATGCGGTATTTTTATTTCTTGAATATTTCGTAAAAAATAATAATAACGAAAGATAATAAATTTAACATCGTAAACTATCCTATACGTGTATTTATTCATGTAGGTAAATTTTACCTATGATTGGGATTGGATTGGGGTTAAAGTCTTCGGAAGGTTGGGTAGCTTGCCATCTATGTGGAGGGTGGGCTCATACAGCTTGTGCTGGAGTAGACGACGACAATACAGAAGACATCCACATCTGCTTGTACTGTGACGCAAAATAAATACGTATCCCATACTGCCCCTAGCCTGTCATGCGCGGTTACAAGATTTGGGCTGAGTATTTGTTTCACTTCCAAGTCTATACTGGTAAAGGTGACAATGTGGAAACTGATCTAGCAAGTAGTGTGGTAAAAACTCTAGCTCAACCACTTATTAGTGAAAGTTGCTCAGCACATATTAGCTTAGACAGCTTTTTTAGTAGTTATGACCTTCTTCAGTATTTATATGACCATATGCAGTACAGCGACAGCGAGAAATGATAGATTGAGAATGCCTGTTTTAGTACTACTAAGATATTGGGAGGAAGTCATGAAGAGGCAAAATAGAAAACTGAAACAACTACAAAAAGGGCAGTACCAGTGGAGAGTTCGAAAGTTCGGGTATCTTATTTTTTCTTGATGATTTTATTCTGTTTTTAGGACACCCATGTGCTACTAATACACTACAAATGACAGAACCTGTAGAAATTGTGCCAAACCTCTATATCATCATCAAAGGCAGAATCAAGAGGTATTTTAAATCTTTTTTTTAAATATATTTTTATACTCTCCTAAAGACCGAATTTCGATATGAACACGGAACAAACAAAGGCGTTCTATTCTGTAATGTGTCATCGAATTCGCGTGCGGAGACAAGTGGAGACGCATGATAGCTCGCGCGGCTTGCCAGTGACCCATAGAGTAAAGTAATATATACAGCAGTGACCTCAGTGACCGTGAAGGCACAACTCGCCTAAATGCATTTCTTTAAATGCATTTTTAATCATCCCAAACACATACGTTATGCAAATTATAGCTAATTGCTTCTAATAAGTTTGATAATTATTTAAATATTTATGTTCTTCCCCTTATATTGGGTAAGTGTGAGCAAATTTATAATTTAACTAGTATAATAATCGCATTAGTTTGATTTTTTAAAGTATATATATAAACAATTCATACTTAGTATGTAAATTAAATTTATGTCATATGCTAGTTATTTTGTCATGTAATTTTTATGTATTTTCATTGTACTTAGTAGATATAACTTTAATTTTTGCCACTTTTGCTACTAGCATGTACCGCCGTACCAAATTTATTAGTTTTACTCTCTTAGTTAATTCTGACGGTGGATGTATATTTTTTCAAACCTTGGTTGCAAGGTAAATTAAGGATTTTGACTGTTATTATAATCTCCTAAAGACCGAATTTCGATATGAACACGGAACAAACAAAGGTGTTCTATTCTGTAACGTGTCATCGACTTCGCGTGCGGAGACAAGTGGATTTAACTGTGTGTTCCAGGGAACTTTGCTGGAGCTGTGAATCCATATTTTATTTTCCCAAATATTAAGGATGATAGGTTATAATAAAATATATGAAATAAATTCATACAAATTAAACTCGCACGAGTGGAATCGGTTGGAAAAGGACACATATCCCCTACCACTCCCGCCGGACTCGCCGCCAGACGTGTCAGGGAAGTACTCACTTTTCCTTCTGATCCTGAAAGGCGTCGAACCCGCGACCTTCTAATTTTATTTTATTTTATTTCTTTCATATATATCGATTTAGTATTAGCATAGTTTTAGTAGTTTTGTATTTTTTTTCAGTATGTATATTAGTATAGTTTATTAGTAAAAGTATTAAACATCTTAAAACAATTTTGATGTCATTATTTATTTGTTCAACAAATAATAATAACGTGACAATTCCTTCACTCACATAGTCTGATCACAATCAGAGAGAGATCAGGCGCAAGACCAATGGCTTTACGTTCTTGCAGAGGCGAGTGAAACACCGCCACCTTCTTCACTCCAGGTTATTACTAGGAATTTCTTGACAGAAAAACTAAATAGTTTCTCTGTCAAGCCAATAAAACCACCACCATAATCAGCAGTTGTAATAGTTTAAAGACATGCAAAAAAATTGACTATATTGTGTTAATGCGTCGTTCTTCGGATTACGTTAGTATTATGACCTGTAGTAGTGTGACGCCAAGATTAACCATTGCCACGAATTTCAGAGCTCAGGAAAAAAAACAAAACCGGAAACGCATCCAACGCTCCTCTTTCGTGCTCTAATCTATGGATGTCATTGTGATGTTTCGTGTAACCGTTGCTGCGTAGAAAATTTTAAATAAAGTATTCATATTGTGTGTTTTATATATTCAAACCTGAGTATTCAAATATTTTTTGTATATTCGCAATGTCGAAGTGAAAATCTGAAATAATTATATTAAATCAACTGAGAAAGTAACAAAGAAAACGTATACGTGTTACGAGCAGTTCCAGCTCTGACTCTGGTGAAGGTAAACAGGAGTCTAGGATACATTTTTATTATTCTTATAGTTTTCACTGCTTTACCTTACTTTTTCACTGCGGTACTTATAATTTTCGTACTGACAGTAGCTGTTCACTTTTTTTAATGTATTTTGTATCTATCTGCTTTGTCAGATTCAACTACTCTGTTCCATTCAACTGCGGTGCTTACACCGCACTTTAATCAGTCACTCGCTAGGCGCTTGTAGTGTTGTCACGTGTTGTGCTGATTTAAAAAAAATATTTCTTGATAAAATTATGCCGTCATGTGTACTAATATTATTGCACAAATAATTCAAGAAATGTCAGTAAAACCCAAGGAATTATTTTTCATCGGTTAATAAGATACTTAATCGATAAAAGGTATTATAGATTAATAATAACACAAAATATTCCTAAGACGCCACTCGTATCATGGAATATAGATTATGAAATTAATATGTCCAGATGCGACATTTCTGTGGGTACTTAAGTATAGGACGAATATATTATTATACACATTTTTTGTAGAAACATATATAAGTTGTCATAATTAGGCAAAAAATTTTTATATTTAAATCTGCTCATTATTCTTTTATTTTATTTTTAGGTTTCCACCAGAGAAGTTACGGAGCTTCGACTCCGGTTCCGTTAAGTCGGAACTTTCGATTATTATTACACCTTCGGTTCCGACTTCAGCTCCGACACTTT